CTTTAGCGTAACGAGAAACGACGAGGAAGGAATTTTGAGACCAAATAGTCAAGACTTTTAAATGCCCTTTGTCTTCATCTGATGGTAATCATATATAGCAAATGAACTTAGTTTCAATTCCTCAAGAAGTGGGCACCCGGAAAGAAGCATTACCCAACAGTGAAATTCCAGGAAAATAACACTTTCCAAATGCAAAACCTTAAGAGAAGGCAAATTCACAGAAGAAAGAGTATTCACTTTTACATCTTTCAACTTTAAAACCTTCAGTGTACTGCAATTGAAAATGGTAGAGGGCAAACTAATACCAGACCAAGATGTAAAACAAAGCTCAAGTTCATCAACTTGGAGCTCATTAAGCTTATTAATCACTTCTTTAACCCAACTTATAATCTTATCAGGACCAAGGCCAAAATTTGCTCCCCTACCTTTGAGACGACAGATCTGGATGTGGTTGAAATTTGGCAAGAAGTTTAACGCAGATTCCACAAACTGGAAGAAGGATTCAGGAGAACGAAAGCTTGAATCATCGAAGTGAAGAATGGGCAATCCAATCCACAGTAATATCCACCTCCTGGACAAGAGGCTTGTGGCAATGACGTCGTTGGTTGGAAGAAAAGAGAGAATATGTCGAAGCAAATCATCTGACAAGTTGCCAAGTCTATCACTTCGTATTATTTCGCTTCCTCTTTCATGGCGTTCCGGAACTGAATTTGCCATAACCCTAGCTTGGTGATGTAATCTTTCGAAAGAGGATGAAAATTAGCTACTGAGGGGAAAAAACGGATGCAAATTTTCATACAAATATGAAATATTGTCTCTTTATTCTGTGTGACAAAATAAAAAATCATTAGATATCGTAATCAAGTGTTAAAATCATCAGATTTGGTGCTAATTTAAATAACCGTGCTCATATTTCGTATCAACCATATATTTTATACTAAATATGGATGGTTCGGATAGAAATTTAAATAATATGTTGACCATCAATTTTAAAAATAATTATAATTTTAGTTCAAATTCAAAATTGACGAAAAGAAGACTACACTTTTTTAGATAAGGAAAAACAGAGTAAACTTTAAAAGAATAAGCAAATTACTTACGCAAGTTCAAAGCTGAAAAATTACTCATTGACCAGAGTGCTTCAAATAAAAATAAACATAGGGTGCCATTGTTCCAACTTTCTTTCTTTAATGAATTGGTTGTCCGCGGATTCCATTATCAAGAAGTGTATCCACGGCTTCTTGTATCAATTTCTCTTGACACATTACTAATTCCCCTGGCATCGATCTACTTGTTGTTAATAGATCGATAAGAGTATTGTTCCGATAGATAACTCTTCGATAGAGTTCATTAATATCCGAGCTCATTAGTTTACCCCCACCTATTTGAATAATTGGTCTTCGTCGATGTGAGCTCTTGGGGAAGATCAGCCTGTTATCCCTAGAGTAACTTTTATGTTGAGCGACGTTCCACTTGGCCGTGTACTGTGTTTACCGGTTTGTCTGTCGCCAATAATTAATTCTCGCTGACCGAAATGGGTGGAGTCAGCAAGGCTGTTGCAGTAGCAACATATACCCAAAATGCTTATCTGAAACTTGATTTATTATCTCGACATCATAATCAGAACCAAAGAAAAGAGTTCTTTGAAATGGAAAACAACAATTGCAACGTAGGTTTCTCCTTTATACATTTCAATTGGAGTTAATAATTTTGCTTACAAATAAAAGTCACTATTAATTAAATAAATAACCACATGATCGTATTAATAACATATACATTTTATACTCAAAAAGATAAGCACTGGCTGCTGCCATTATTTGAATCATCCAGATTGATTTTGAACAGTCTTATAGGTTCAATTTAAATCATTTTATGTTTTTAAAATTTTTTATTTTAGTAGATATAAAATGTAAAATAAAAATAATCTTATGATTGACATTTATTTAAAATTATCAATGAAAAAAATTTAGATTAGAAATTTTAGATTTTTTTACTATTTAGATCAAATTTTGAATGGTACAAATTTCATTACAATAATAAACACTACCATTGTGATAATTAAACATTGAATGAGAACACAGCGATTTATCATTCATTAACCCAAATGTTAATCTTATGACGGGAGATAAAAGAGGGATGGGAATTCTATACAAATCAAAGCCAAATGTCTCAATAAACAGAAGAAGAAAGTCATGACTCATGAGCATGTATTATAGTGCCACAATGACATGATTAATTGTCAAAATATATGACAAAGTATTAAACAACATAAACCCTACTACTTCCTTCTACTTCTAATTCTTCTGCCAAGAGGTGTTGATGATTTATCCTCAATCACGTGATCGGAGCTTAACAAAATGACCAATTTTCCATCATAAAAGGAACCAAAAATTGAAATATAATAGAAGTCCGCAATAATTCTCAGATCCTTTAGGGCATGTGGATAACTTTTTTAGCGTTATTGGGGAGGGAGTTTACACTTGAACGACAAATTATGGAGACGGTGTTCAAAGCTTTCGCATTGTCCATAATAAATCTTGCAACTCGATACTGGGTTTCCGATGCTTTGAATTGATCAAAACAGAATCTCTTTAACCTAACCAGAAACGATGGCTTTGATGAGACAAGATGTTGAAGACTCTCAATTTTGGTGGCCTTCGTGATGGCAAATATAACAAATAAATTTAGTTTCAATTCTTCAAGACGTGGGCAGCCAGTAAGAAGCATAACCAAACATCGAAATTCTGGGAATATAACCCTTTCCAAATGCAAGACTTCAAGGGAAGGCAAATTCACAGAATAATCAGTACTTACTGTTACACCATTCAACTTTAAAACCCTCATCGCACTGCTATTCAAAATCTCAGAGCTCAGATCAACACTAAACCAATAAGAAGTAAAACAAAGATCCAATTCCTCAACTTTGAGCTTATTAATCACTGTTGTAACCCAATTTACAATGTTGTCATCGGGCTGTATTCCAGAACTTCCAAATCTGAGACGAAAGATCTGGACGTGGTTGGAATTTCTGAAGAATATTAGTGCATGTTCCACAAACTCGACGAAGAATATAGAAGAACGGAAATTTAAAGCATCGAAGTGAAGAGTGGGCGATCCAGTCCACAGTGAGGTCCATCTCTTGGACAAGAGGCTTGTGGCAATGGCTTCTTGGGTTGGAAGAAAAGAGAGAATTTGTTGAAGCAAATGATCTGGTAAGTCACTAAGTCTATCACTTCGTATCATTTTGCTTCCTCTTCATTGGTGTGCCGGCACTTAATTAATTTGCCATCACGCTAGCTTGGCCACATAGATCCTTTAATCTAACAACAAAGAGGATGAAAACTACAGAAAAAGGAATGGAGGGTGAAGGTTTAAGCACACCTCTTTTTTTAAAAAAAGAAAAAATTAGAGGGGTAGATACTAATAGTCTAATATTACAAATGAGATCGGATCCACGATTTCCCATCTATAGAGGAACATTCATTTTAAACATACCTTTTGAATGGATCAAAATACCTACGTAAAACCGGATCACAATCTAGACTGAAAATTACGAGGAGGCAGTTTTAAAGGAAAGAAGAAAAACTACCTCACATGAGCCATACATCTCATTTATTTAAAATATATCCCATTTACTTTATTGGTTGGGATCGGGACCTTATAAAATATTTTCCTCCTCCTGTGTTGAGCGTGTCATAACAAAAAATATCGTAATCAAAGGCTCAAATCAATGTGATATATTTGGAAAGGAGTTCACTTAGTTCAGGGGCTCCTTATTACTTGGTGATAAGACTAAATTCCAATTTCAATTTAGGTAGTCTATATAAACTTTAATATTTTTTATATTTTTCATCGTATTTTAATTTATTATAACAGATGCAGAATTTAAACTCTAGATAATTTTCTTATTGTCAGGAAGTTAAAGAGAGAGAAAAACTTATTTTATTATCTAAAAATATAAGTTAAAAATTTTAGATATATGTCATATATCGAAGTCAAATTAAAATACTAAAAGATCTCTGTGTGTGTGCATACATATAAAATGTATTTGCATCCAATTACCTATATCAATTATGCCAAATTTTCCAATCAAACATAAACATGTATCTTATATTTGAAATATTAATATTTAATAGCATTTAATTACAAATTCACCGAAACGAAAAAGATATATGGTCATGTGTAATCAGAAAACTTGACATACTGAATATAAAGAATTTGACCTAAGTTTTTTTCATATATTTAACTGTTATATATGGTTCAAGAATATTTTTGTTAGTTGAAAGAATTAAAAAAATATAACCTAAATCCTTTCTATTTAAATCCTTAAAAAGGGAACAAATATGCGAAATTTAAGGGGTGATAATAACCGAAAAAGACGTCATAAAAAAAAACTGAAAAAGAATGTTTTCATTGAGTTTTCTCTCCACTTCCCTCCATTTAGTATCTCTATTATTGGATTAACATCAAATGGTTGAGATTTAATATAATATTGTTATATTAAATATATATATATATATATAAATACCTTTAACTTATATTTAAATAAGTACTATGATATTATTATAACCACTTCGGCCCCGGGGGGGAACACGAGCCTAATTTTTCAGTTTGGCCCAAAAGAAAAATCTAATATTTCAAAATTCATAGGACATAAGTAATAGAACTGCAACTACCTTTAATTTATAAAATAATTTGTTAGTATGGTGATTAAAACTTTTGCATTCTACATTGTGCTTTAAAAAAAAAAAAAACTTGTAAATTGTAACCCTAACCCAACGCTAAGTCAAAGTATTCTTTGAGACCCCCTTGGCTTATAAAACGGAAAAACATAAAAATAAGGAAATGGAAAAAAATCATTTTCCGATCTTACAAGTTATGGGAGTTTGATTACTCATGATCTCAAAGAAAAAAAATTAATAAAAGAATAATTATCATTTAATAATATCCACGCAAGTGAATTTTAATAAACCCTCTACGCATATCACGAAAAAGGATAAATACCACTCAATGTTATTCATATATGTTTATCGGTGATTACATTTAGGATTGGAAAAAAAAAAAAGAAGACGAAGAAACCAAAAAAAAAAAAAACCATAAACAAAGATCTATGAATCTAATAGCAACAGTATAACATCCAACATAAATTTCTGATACTGAGAGTTATTATTTCTGAGGTATAAGGATATATTTTCGAACATTTGGCTGAGTGATGGAAATGGTCCTCAAATCTCTTGCATTGTTGAGAATAAACATCGCAACCTTAAACTCACTTTCTTTTCCCTTGAAATCCACCAGGAATTTCTTCAATGTGCCCAGAAATGATGGAACATTTGGTCTGAGCAAATTTCCAAGAAGTCTGTAGTTTGTGAACTCAAGATCATGCACAACAATATGTTCAAGTAACAGTTCTTCAACATTGGCACATCCAGAAAAGAGCTTTACAACACATTTATAATCTTCAAACATAACGCGTTCCAAATGCAAGACTTTAAGGGAAGGAAAATTAACCAAGAGAGGAGTATCTATACGTACCCCATACAATTTCAAAACCCTAATGGGACTGCAGACAAATGTTAGAAGGAACACTAATTTGAAACAAGTATGGAACACTTAGCTCTATTTGCTCAACTTTGCAGTTTATAGCTGCTTTAAACCAACCATCGATCTTACGATCGTCTAGATAGTAATAATCAACACAATTGAGACGAAGTAGC